AAAAGAGCCAAAAAGCTCTCCCGCAGAGACAGGCACGCTGCTTGCTGCAGGCTGACCTAGAGGATCCCGCCAAAAAATATTTGTATTTTGTGGACCTAGTTTTGTTCAAATAAGGGTAAAATGGTCATTAAAAATTAAAAGAGGGCAAACTTAAAAATTGACTCTCAAAGGGGGCATTTTTGAAAAGGGGTATTGAAAAAGGGGTATATTTAACAATTTCTCTTAAAATTTTTAACACTTTTTTTTTTAACACTTATTATTTATATTAAAAGTGTTTTTAAATTTATTTTATATATTACCTTTTCTATTAAATAAATATTATTATTAGTTAAAAGCATTAATTAGTTATAATAATTATTAGGAGCTTTTGCAAAAATGCCACTTTTTCAATGCCACTTTTCAAAAATACCTCTTTTTTAAAACCTTATAAAAATGCTCTTAAAAATATAAGATTTACCCAAATATGTATGTAATATTATTAAAACATACACAAACTACATTTCTATGTATCTAAACTCTTATAAATACTTTATAAATAAATACCTTATAAATGCATTTTAAATGTTTAAATGCATTTATAATATGGTTTACACATGATTAAATTTTTTAACACTTGTTTTTTTAAAATGTTTTTTTTTCCTTTTTTTTTTCATAAGTGTTAAATTTTTTAATTTTGTGTAAACTAATTGGATACAACATCCAAACCCCTAAGAGGTGTTCTAGGTTCAATTTGGTTCATACGTAATTAAATTTTTAAAACTTTTTTTTTCTAAAATGTTTTTTTTTTATAAGTGTTAAATTTTTTAATTTTGTGTATACTAATTGGATACAACATCCAAACTCCTAAGAGATGTTCTAGGTTCAATATAGTTTACACATAATTAAATTATTAAAACTTTTTTTAAAAATGTTTTGTTTTCTTTTTGTTTTTCTTTTAAGTGTTAAATTTTCTAATTTTGTTTAAACTAATTAGACACAACATCCAAATCCCTAAGAGGTGTTCTAGGTTCAATATGGTTTACACATAATTAAAAAATTTAACACTTATTTTTTATATTAAAAGTGTTTTTAAATTTATTTTAGAGAAATTGTTAAAAATGCCCCTTTTTCAATACCCCTTTTCAAAAATGCCCCCTTTGAGAGTCTATTTTTAAGTTTGCCCTCTTTTAATTTTTAATGACTATTTTACCCTTATTTGAAACAAAATTAGGTCCACAAAATACAAAATATTTTTTGGCGGGAAAAGTGATCCCGCAATTTTCCCGCCAAAACGCTTGTAAAAACCTTTAAAAAAACCTTGTAAAATTTTCCCGGAAAAATTTTTCCCGCCAAAAAATTTTCCCGACAAAAAATTTTTTTTACGGGTAAAGTGATTCCGCAATTTTTTTTGCAAATTTTTTTGGCGGGAAAATTTTTGGCGGGAAAAATTTACAAGGTATTTTAAAGGTTTTTTACAAGGTATTTACAAGTGTTTTGTAAGGTTTTACAATGTATTTTAAAAGGTTTTACAAGGTACTTTAAAGGTTTTATAAGGTATTTATAACTTGTAAAACCTTATAAAAAACTTGTAAAACCTTATAACTTGTAAAAACCTTATAAAATAGCTTGTAAAATCTTATAATATCTTATAAATATCTTGTAAATACGTTGTAAAACCTTTTAAAATACATTGTAAAACCTTATAAATACCTTGTAAAAAACCTTTAAAATACCTTGTAAATTTTTGGC